AAGCGTCCAGATTCTTATGACTTTGCCTCTTCCAAAGTTTTGCTATTAACTATTTACCTTATTTAAAGACAGACTTTTTGCTTTTCAAAAGGCTCCGTGCACCTCAACACACCCCCACATCTCCCCTCCCACCCTCCTGCCCCTTAAGTGGCTTTGTTTTTCTTTTAAAGACAGCAAAAAATGGCAATTCTGGGACAAAAAGCTGTTTCACAAAATTACTGTAAAGGATCCATGAAAATGCAGTAAAACTTAAGGGAAGAAACCCAGAGACAAGAAAGTAGTGCCGCTGTCTCATCTTTGAGAGAATAAAAAAATAGCAACAGAACACATCTTCTTTTGCTACTCGACTGTTCAGTCAAAAAAAAAAAAAGAAAAAAGAAAAAAAGTTGTCAAAATGAAATCTGCCTTCCAAATTGGTCAATTACGTGGAACTAAAATTCTTCCTACTGGGAAGAATTTATCCCAATAAAGTCCAGCCTGCCAAGTTTTAACACTTACCTAAACCACGAGATTATTACGCCTTATGCTTCAAAGAAAATACTCTATTGGTAATTTTCTATTGAATTTTATTAACAGTTATCTTTTTATCTGTAGAGAAAAAGCAAATAAATGTTTGTAAAATCAATACTGGGGAAGCGTCAGTATTTCTGCAGGGTGGAGAGCTCCAAGACAAGAATCCCGGGGAACAAACCTGGAGTTATTCTATTCTCTCTTCAGTATTCGTGGTGGTAATTGCAATTTTCATCATACTTGAGGGATTTTTTTGGATGGATTTACATTTTATTCACACTTCAGCAATACAGAAAGTTTTTAATATTATATAGTCTGGCTGCACCATCAGGCTATTTTTGGCTTACCTTGCCCTTGTTTTTTCAGAAAAGCAAGTATCCACCAGTAGGGCCACAGCTACTGGGCAGCTTTGCCAAGAGACTGCACACATCTTCTGCCCTGGCACGGGAAAGCGGAACCAGTTCTAAAGAACACTTTGAAGGTGGGGAAAAGAGTGATGGGTGATAATCAACTACAGAGAGAGAGAGAGATTTGACACACGTCCATTACGTCAACAAAGAACAATCTGTTTTGTCTGAAGAAAACTAGACTCATCAGACAGGCACTTGCCAATCTGGAAATACCTACCGAAGAAGTAATGACTTATCAGCAAGATGACTGTCTAAAGGGGAGACTGTCCTTTAAAACAGACTATAGCATTTAATTTTAACAGAATGAGTCTATACATTAAGAAGCTGCATGGCCTCGTGCCTATAGGAAGCATCTTCAGAAGCCATCATGACCACCAAATTAATTTAGAAAAGGCATAGGAACTACAAGTAGTCCTTTATGTAAAGGCATCACCGTTCCCTTCTGATCTTGAGACTGTCTCTATATCCCATAGGGTAACAAACACCGGCCGCTCAGATTTAATACCTCTAGGAAGGCATCAGAAAACCACAACTTTTGAAATCCCTTTTAGCCCCGAACTCTAACTGCTCTTACCGATTAACACACGAGTGCTCTCCCTACACAGATGGAGTACAAACCTATTTCTTGAGGGCAAAGAGATTGACAGCGTTAGTGAGGAGGAGTATAAATTTATTTAAATGAAAAAAGAAGAATGAACCTCAGGCAAAGACTCCGGAGCAATCAGCATCACGGCCCGCCGTGGGTGTGAGGGGGGAATATTTGTAGAGAAGCATCCTAGAGGACTCCAGGATATGTTGGTTGTTTTTTTTTGGTTTTTTTTTTTTTTTTCTTTGAAAGATTCCCATCGGTTCACGTTCACTCTGCAAGAAGTGCGAATGGATAAACGCAACTTCAACTATTCCTACCGTGGCTCCAGGCCAGCTGCCGCCTCCTGCAAACTAAGGAAAAGGACTAAGGAGGGGAGCGAAAGTCTTTGAAAAAGCAAGCTCGGGGTGTGAAAGAGGAGGAGCAGGCAGCGCTGAGGCTGCCACGCGGGGCCTGGAGGGAGGTGTTCTGCAGGGGCACGTTGGAGAGGGGATAGGGAATAACATTCTCATCCGCAGCGACGGCAGTTCCATCAGCAAAAAGATCTCACTGCAGCAAACGAAGGAACTTCATAGCTGTCTGGGGAAAAATGTGTTTCAAGGTATGGCGTCTGAGTTGAACAAGACTCGTACTTCGTTAGGGCCATAAAAGCAGTCTGCTCAGACAGCCCTGCTTCTTAAGTGATTCTGGAGGATGCAGCCGGGACAATAAATTAAGCAGTTATTTACAACAGTAAGCATGGGCATATGTGTGCACTCACACTTTAAGTTGGCTCAAAAATCACAGAGCTTAAATGAGTTCAGGGATTTTAGAAAACATGTGAAAATAATGGAAAACTGTACACCTTTTTCCACTGACATCAATTTTTTTCTTTCAGTTAACGAGAGGGGCATGGTACAGCCCAGCGAAAGCCACACACAAAAGATTAAAAAAACCGTAATCTAGAATAGCTGAACTCCAATCCCAGTTCTGACAACACAAATTTCCACTGTGGCCTAGAACAAGAGTGTGTTTTCTCCACAGACGGAAGGGCTGTATGGTGGGAATTACAAAGCCCACGTACCTACTTGGCTTTTATACTTTTCAAAGTCATCCTACCTGTACAGTCAGAGCTTACTTTACAACGGACCGATTAGCTAAACACCTGTACCGTGCTTCTTTATGTTCTATAATCGATACTTGTTATCTTGTCAGTCTCTCAGATTGGGTCTGACATGGATGTTGGTGAGATACGTGGATGTTGCTGACCCACATAAAGGCCAAACAGCCAAATTCAATCTCTAACAGCCCAGATGCTGAAACTGGGGGGGAGGTGGGGGTGGGGTTGGGGTGGGTGGGAGGAGAATGAATCCATAAAATGTAAGCAATCAAGTTCCTCCCAGAATTTAAGACATTTCATAGAAATGTTGCATTTCTTTCTAAACCAAACAGTACTAAGGGGGAAAAAAATAAAATAAAATATGGAAATGTGTTAACAAGGTGCACAAATGATTTCAACTCTGCCCCTCAGTGACCAGATAAAATAACCAAATGTCTGTGACCACGTGTTGTCACAGACAAGGTAAATTCTAATTTTTCTTCACTGTCACTATAGGATACAGCTGTGCATTTCCATACCCTAATTTGTTTGGACTTCTTTCAACTCTGACCTTAATTCTGGGTATTTCCTGCATTTATAGTACTTAACTTGGGGATATTTACAACGTACCTTTCATATATTTTGTCCTCAATAACTGAATGTATTCTTAACCTTAATTCCGTCTTAACATGGCAAAGCAGACACAATGTACCTTTATTAAACTGACAAACTCATGGGCAAACAACAAGCGAGCAGCCCCAAGAATGCCACCCTGCAGTTTTTCAAATGATTTGCAAATACAAAGTATGTCGAGTCTTTAATAACTGTTTATTTTTAACTTTTATTGCCCAATTCAGGGATACACTCTGGCTACTTAACGCTGTGGTAAAGCAGCACAAAAAGAAAACACAGCCGTGTTGAGATGCGCGTTCCACTGGAGCATTGCTGAGCAGCGGGTTCGCCCCTTCCGTCTCCCACTCTCTCCTGCCCTGCGAATCCCCGTCCTCCACCCACCCTCTCTCTCCCCTTCAACCTCCACCTGCATGCGCACGCAACCTCGCTGCCACCTGCCTCCTTCCTGCCTTCAAGCCCACCTTATTCCTCCACGCACCTCTACACGCGCCTTAGCGTTCCTACCCTGGGGTAGATGGGACACACCAGGTACCTTCCAAAAAGAACTACTGAAAAATCGGCAACAGCTTGCAGGACGCTTCTCCTTAACTGATCGCTCATCTTCAACCAAAGCTGTCATACCAAATCTTGAAAGTCATCCATTTTTTAGCACCTCTCTGCTTGGTTTTCGTCACGGTTGAGGTCTTCTCCCAAAAAGGCCAACGCTCCCTACAGTTCTTGGGGACAGTGAAACCACATCCGTAGTGCCTGATGCTGTCAGACAGGAGGCAGAAGACTGAATTGCACGAAAAGGATGTCAGAGAAATGCCCAGCAACTTCAGACTCGCTGACTACCACCCCAAACGGCAGCTGCCACAGAACTGTCTCTGCTGATGCAGGAATTCCAATTATAGACAATTAAAAAAAAAACAAAACAAAACAAAAAACTGCCTTGACCACAGATTCCAAGTTTCTTAAGAAACACATTTTTTAAAGCTACCTCCTAATGAAGAAAACCAATTCACTTGTAGGACCTTAGAAAAAAATCTCTTTTCAAACAGAATGCTTTAATTTTTTGGAAGATCTTTTCATCTGTAACAAAAAAGCTGAATTCCTACTTAAAATGGAAACCTCCTTTTGTTAACTGCAGCTGATCCCTTTCTAAACGTTTTAATGCACTTCATTTTACCAGTTAAACCTTTAAGTCCTTTACTCACTAGTGTCACGTTACTTGCTCTTTTATGACCTATAAAATATTACTGCTCTAGAAATGCTAAATCCCACACTTATCCACAGTGAACATTTACTCTATATCTTCGCTACTTTTGTAAAAAAAGGAGATGTTTTTCTGATACTTCTTTCTTCAACACCATCACGTCTACAACGTATTTCCTACAAAGTTAATCAGTATAAAATCTAGATCAGATCCATAGCGACTATAAAAAAATATATAACAACTATTTCAGGACAAAGGTTTTTCCATCAGTGCCAAAACTGCCTCTGACACACACGTAACGCTCCCGCTGGCACCAGTGGGAGACCCACGCACGTATCCAGACGCGGATTACGCTCCTAGACCTAGGCAAGACTTCTGATACCATGTGACATGCAGGACTTGCCGATAATTAGACCGCGGACCACGTTTACGACCAGATCCTGAACGGCCCCAGTCGCGGACGAGCCCTATTACTTTTCACTGCCGCTACTTCTGCGATGCACAAACTAGTAAGCAGCCAAAGTTCAAACTGATGACTCCCACAACACACAGATCTAACTAAACGTTTCCAACAATGCCCCAAGAACCGCAAGTTCGCTTAGTCTGTATTTTTAACAACACAGGGCCTTTGTTATTATAAACTTCAAAACAAAACCAAAGAATTCCACATAATATTTATACTTTCAAAAGTACAATATTAATACAGGTCGGTCAGTTAGAAATAACAGCAGTTTGTTAGGTCTACAAGGTTTAACGTAAAACCGGTTTACAAATGCTGAAAAGCAGTAGTGGTCCAATAGTCACCATTACACATGAATTTCTCTCTTCCAGAAAATAAAAAAAAAAAACCCAATTCAAATTTACCAGTATCAATGAAATATTAATAAAACACCCCCAAACATGCCACAATCACTATTCACAAATAAAGTTAAAATGAAATATACAAAAATTCACTTAATACTGTTAAATAACAATAAACTACAAGATTTCCTGAACAGAAATGGTAGGACCCCTGAATGTTTTACAGTGAATGTCAGGAAAAATTAAGTTACCTATGACTATTTTCATGATATACCAGCCAAAGATTTACATGACCATTTCAAAATATACCAATAAAGATTTACAGTCTCTTTAAGATGCACTAAACAAATAAGTTCATAAAGGTGAACACAAATGCTTAAAAATACTGTAACCATCACCAAGGGTGTACTTATGATACTCACTGAGATGCATAAGCATAGTAGTAACATGTTTTCTATCTCTGGTAAACAGATAACATCTAAGATCTGAAAAACTCTCTAAGTTCCCACTGTAAAAGCTCTGTAGCATAGCGAGTTCTTGTCAAGTACAAACTTGCATCTTTCCAGTTGATTTCAAGTGAGTAATGCACAAATGGGAGAGCAACAAGGTGGGAAAAGCGTGACATTATTCCCATGTTCTTGTAATTAGTTGTCCTGTTCCTCTGTAATGGAAAGATTCTAAACTTCAAAAGTAAGCCAGGGTCCAACGGATATGAAACAGCTTTTTACTGTTTGTATTTCTAAGTTAAAAACAAGGTAAAAAAGTCATTGCTTCTGCAGGCCCCATATGCACAACAATGTGCAAATATCTTATGCTGGAGTAAGCCTGACAAAATTTATCATCCAGTCTCCATGCTCTAATTTATCACTAACTGACGTAGGATCTGAGAGCAAATAATAGTTACTGTTCACTTGTTTGAATCAACTTTCACACCATGTGCTTTTCAAAAACATAATATGCATTATAATTGTTCAACTATTTCAACACATACTTCCAATGTTAAATAAGGAATTAAGTGCCATGAACTTAGAGCATTAAAGATGGTTCACCTATAGCCAAGCAAAGCTATGTTTACATTCCAGGAAACACTGCAGTTAAGAAATACAAAAAAACCCCGCAGCAGTAGAACATTTTATGAAGAGAAACAGATGCATTCACATATTATAAAGCCATTGCAACTTCTTCAGGCATGGAACTGTTGTGTTAACTATACAGACAGTAGTTATTTAGCAGCAATGATTCCGCAATAAATAATGCACTGTGTTTCTCAGTCCTGCACAAAAATTGCAGCTACAGTTACATCAACAGCTGTAACCTACTGGCTCTAGTGGCAGAGGAGACCTTAAAACCAACTGTACAAAAAATTGTCACACTGTGACAACAAATATAAAAACATAATCTGCAGGTTGGAAATAAAAAGACTCCACTGTGAAGAGGACAGTGTAGACAAACTGCGATTCCAAGTCCACCAACAGAGAGCACTGCCTTCAGATCCGAGTCCTCCACTGATAGGATAGGCTTGGGCTCGACTCTGCGGCGCCCACTTCAAAAAAGCATGCTCTGCCTTCTGTTCTTCCCATGTCCTGCAACGGAACACGGACCACGGTGAGAAACCAAAGGGTTCGCACAACAGAGGATTCAGCTATTATCTACATCTTCTGTCTTCCTGTTCTGAGAGAACAGGCTTTCCCTGTCTTTAAACCAGTATCAGTGTCTTTCTTTTAACTGCGCTTGTTGCATCTTTTTTTTCACTTTGCCACCATTCGACACCCACACAGTAATGGTTTGAAACGCCAAGATTTTCTCCTCTTAACAGTCCCCCTGCCCATCCCTAGTAAAACTCACCTCCTTCTCTGCATTCGCTTTTATGTTTCTACAGGAACCTGAGCAACTCATCCCTGATAACTGTTTGCATACATTCACACAGATCAATTTAACAAAGTATTTTTCAGTGTCTCTGGCACGGCATTCCATTTCCACAGATGAAAAAATCTTAAGCTTTCTGTACCTGTCTCTGGGTAAGTGGAATTTCGAAAGCCAGGGTCTTTTTGCAGCTGAATCTCTTTTAGACTGAATATCGAAACACCTGGAATGTAACAAAGAAATTAATTCATATCCAAACATAACTACGCTTTACTGAACAAAGTTCTAGTCTTAATTACACAATGTAGATAAAAAAAAATGTTTTCTACTCTCAAATATTTAAGTCGGTATATACCAGACTTTTTTAATAGATTAGTTTCGAGAGTTCTTCCTTAAGCGAATGTACTATCTCAACAATACTCTGCTACTTTACTACTCCTCTTACTTTCAGGCAAAGTGTGTATTCTTGTTCCAAGACTTCTGAAGTATGCATGTTTCATGGCCTCTTCTGCTGAAATTCTCTTCTTCGATTCATACTATTAACATAAAAGGATACAAGCGTGTTGGTTTTCATTAAAAAACTCTTTGCGTCAAGTGATTTCATCAAAGGAAGAAACAGAGTTCTACTTGCTCAGTATTTCCCACCAACTCACTAGGACACGTTTGTTTTCACTAATTTATTTCACACATGAAAATCTAACATATGTTAGCTAAATCAGTATTACCAACATATAACAAGATTGCTAAAATAGTCAAAATAACTACAGTAAATGGATGCAAGTCAAAAATATACTTACTCTTTATTTTTAGATCTAACAATGATTACACGACAGACTTCTGTCTACCTTATGTTCTGATATTAAATTGCAATGAAATGCTATTACATGAGACCACAGAAGTTTTCTAATTCAATGGACTACGCTGCAGTGTTTTGCATAAAATGGAACTTTAGACAACATGGTCTTCAATCTGTGCTCAAATGTCTCCTGCTTGGCCTATGTGGACATTTGGACAACAATGCAGACATTTCAAAAGCCGTATACAAATAAGAACAAAGTCCAAACAAGGACTGCAAGTACCGTTCTGACACAACAAGACCTGGTGTAGAATTCAAATCATAAGCTGCAGAGCAGAGTAACTGCACTCCACCTTACGTACTAACAATTTTCAACACGGTGCAGTTACAGTGCTTCTGCATCTACTCCAAGACTGAAGAGTTGGCCTTCCATCTTGCTTCCCCTCTTCTTGCTCCTGGCTCATTTTTAGTATAGGTTAGAAGACTAAACCCACATACCACTTCACCTTTTGAATACAGTTTGCAAGATCAAAGAGTAATATTCCACCTTAGCTTACTACTAGAGAAGCAGTTACTAAGTTCAACGCTACAGAAATTTAGTATTTGTACTTCAAAGTTCTGTTTTAATACAGTATTTCACAGGAGATTTATTTTTTTCAGGGAATTCTATTTTTACAAAAAGTAGTAAGAGAAGAAATCAGTTCTGGCAAAACATAAAAATAAAACATCAGGTTTAAAATTCATACTGTACATAGGCTTCCCAAAACTGTCATTCTTCCCAAACCCATCATCCACTACAGACTCAGCCGCCTATTCCACTTTGAAAAAGATCTAACAGATACTATACCTTCTAATGTATTTTGTAAACAATATTTTAAAACTCTAAACTTGCACTTTTATAAAGTAAAGCCACAAAACACATCTTACTTGAAGGAACTTCGCTATCAATTCAATTCCTTCTGTGTCTAGCCTAAAAATAAAAATTAAAAAAAGTTAAAAAAATTAAAACTCTCATTGAACTGGATTTACAAAAGCAAAATTGCATAGGAACTGACTTCATTAAATGGTATCAAACCTGAAAATTCAATTTAAACACATAAATACTTTCACCTAAACAACTTTTCTGCATGTTAATGTATATACATACAAGAATCAGTATCTCAGAACAAGACTCTCTTAAAAACACTGGGGACAGACAAAACCTGAGCTTTGCGTTGTGATTTACTAGGTTGACCTGGATAATTTCTTTTAGCAAAAAAACTTTTTTTTTTTTTTTTTTAAAAAAAGCCTAAGACTACTCATTCACTAGAAGGACACAATGCCAGATCTTTTCCTTCAGGGTCGATAAAAAAATGTGGTAGTCTTTGTTATAAAGTTTATTTGTAACAACTGTGCAGACCCTTCAAACCCCCCTTGAATAATTTCAAGAGACTGGTCAAGGAAAGCTTGCCGTTTTAACAATGAGGCTATTACACAATAGAAGAGAATTTGGGTTATTTACGAAGCACTGTGTGAATACTGCTACTGTGCAGTAATTATTAATCGGAGTTTAAAGTTCTATAGGTCGTTACGGGGCTGTGGTACCTTGAATGATATTAGGCAAAGTAGTCACATAGCACCAGGACGATGCTTTGCATTAGTATGTGCCCACAATAACACAACTGATCTGTAGTTTTCCAGCATTCAGTAGCAAACTGAACTTGGAAAAAAGTTCACATTTGCAAATATGCAAAGCCACAGGGATGCATATTTCTATTAATAAAACACGAAGTACCTTGGCGCATGGTTGATGAGGGGTTGTGGTTTATACTTAGGAAAGTTGTAGTTTCTAAATTCATCACTGGAAGAAATGCCTGGCCATGTTTCCTGACATGGGGTTCCTGCATTTAGAAAAAGCAACAAATTCAACTTAAAAAAAAATGTAAAGAAACAACTTTGACATACATAAGTATTCAAACCCGTAATTTAAACAGGAAAGAAAGGAAAAAAATAATCAGTCAATGAATCTATGTTGTATAAACTCAGTTGTGCACTCAGCTCAACCACTTTTTGTCAAGAGTACGCTCATCCACCTTTATTACAATGAAATATGAAATATCATTGTTTATAGTATAAGATCTACATTTCTCATGGAAAAACTCTTTAGAAGAACATACATACAGCATTAACATTACTACTAAAAGTATCCATTTACCCAGAAGTCTGAAAATTAAGTGCAGTTCATCTTCAACAGTCGAACCAGGAAAAAGAGGCCTTCCTGATGCCATTTCAAAAAATATGCATCCAACGCCCCTTTACAAAAACAGAGAAAAAAATAGATCAGAAACAACCCAACAATTTAAGCTTTCAGCTCTCAAAGACTTCTGTGATTTCTCTTCAATTAAAACAAATTATTAAATTAGTTGTTAGTCACATGCTGCTGTTAAAAATATAGTTGTGAAAGATATACAGCAATAAGAGAACTGTCAAAGACTAAACAAAACCTGTGTCACAGATGTATTATATCCTCTTCCTTCAGATGTCAAGTTTATCAATTATATTAAGGTTTATAGTAACATATCATGTTATTAGGAGAACATGTTGGTTTTTTCCCCCTAACACTGTGGGCCTAACGCCTGCTTACTTTAAGCAATAAAAAAGTTCTCTCCATTTTCACAGAGAAGTAATAGTATCTCCCCTGTCTGCAAATCCTTTCTCTGAAAATCTAGCTCAGTTGTAGCCTTCAAAAATTCACAGGATAAGTATTTGAATGATACTCTGTAATAATAAAGAATTGACCTTTTTCAACTTGACCGAGAACAAAAAGTTAAATTAGTCAAAGCTATACAAACCACATGTCAATTTGAGTTGAATACTCTGAAGATCCGAGGAGAACATCAGGTGGTCTGTACCATAACGTGACAACTTCATTGGAATAGGTCTTTGTAGGAACAGATTTCGCTCTAGCCAATCCTTGATAAAAAGGGAAATAGAATCACGTGCAGCTTGCTGAAATCTTTTTTTTTTTGCATGAAATTGACAAAGAATTTTTAAGAGCTAAATCAACCTTATTATACTTGCTAAATACCTTCCCTTCATGTTTATTAAAAAGCCCTAATAAATAGATTTCTACAACTTGTGATTTGCTTCTTAGTATTCACAGCAATCTCATGATCAGCATTTTTAAGTACAGAAGCAGGTAAACGGATCAAAACCTGGAGTAACCCTATAAATTTCATTAAACCACAAAGCATAAGATCAACATGACACTTTCCACCTATGAAAACCCTTCCGAACTATTGCCATTTGAGAATTACATTGCAAGAGGCAACAAATGTAGACAGTAAAATATCCATGACCCATCAACGTGCCCTTGTTGCCAAAAAGGCCAATGGAATCCTGGGCTCCACAGGGAAGAGTGTGGCCAGTAGGTCGAGGGAGGTCATTCTCCCCCTCTACTTTGCACTGGTGAGGCCACAACTGGAATACTGTGTCCAGTTCTGGGCTCCCCAGTTCAAGAGGGACAGGGAACTGCTGGAGCAAGTCCAGCAAAGGGCAACCAAGATGACTGAGGGATTGGAGCATCTCCCTTATGAAGAAAGGCTGAGAGAGCTGGGACTCTTCAGCCTGGAGAAGAGAAGGCTGAGGGGAGACCTCATTATGGCATACAAGTATCTACAGGGTAGGTTGAAGGAGGATGGAGCCAGACTCTTTCCAGTGGTTCCCAGTGACAGGACGAGGCGCAATGGGCACAAGTTGGAACATAGGAAGTTCCGTTCAAATACACAGAAAAATTTCTTCACAGTTCGGGTGCCAGAGCACTGGCACAGGCTGCCCAGGGAGGTTGTGGAATCCCCTTCTCTGGAGGTTTTCAAAACCCGCCTGGCTGCAGTCCTGAGTAATGTGCTCTGGGCAATCCTGCTTTAGCAGGGGAGTTGGACTAGATGATCTCTAGAGGTCCCTTCCAACTCTGAAGATTCTGTGATTCTGTGAAATGAATCATGAAATACTGGAAACAGACCAAATCAGTGTTGGATCAGCAGGGGTTTTCCACCCTAGAATTATCAGTTCATCAGTAGTATCTTCAATAAAATTTAGGTGTATCATGTTAGATGCAATCTTCTGAGCAACTTTCACTCACACACAAGGGGAAAAACCAGTGGTAGCACAACATTCAAAGGACCTTCCTGACACAGAAGATAACAGGAACCTGCGAATGCCCCACTTTACTGGAAACCCCAAAGGAACTTGGTGTATCAGTGATGGAGTAACACCTGACAATTCAGCATGTGGACAGACTCTTTCTCCCATCATGATTACTCTGCTTAGGAGTGACTCTGGAGTGTTAGGAAAACTGTGGAAACACTGGAGTGTTTAAGAGCCGTTTAGATGTGGTGTTGGGGGATATGGTGTAGGGGAGAACTTTGTGGAGTAGGGTAGATGGTTGGACTCGATGATCCCAAGGGTCTCTTCCAACCTAGGTGATTCTATGATTCTATGATAAGCAACCTGAGCTCCACCTTAATGATCTGGCTAAGTGCCAATTTCAAAGGAAGCTGTAGGACTACTTTCGAACCACAAGTCAAGTGGGTTTAGTATTAGCTATAAATACAGTACATTGATTACTAATATCCTGTAAAAGGCAGACTTTCATTTTCCATCTTAGAACGCATGAATTCACTACAGACCCGATGTTCTCGCTTTTTTGCTGAGTGAAGAAAATATTTGTCACAGAATAATTTCAAGCCATACCAAAGTCTGCGAGCTTCAGTTCTCCTTTCTCATTAATTAGTAGATTTTGTGGCTTCAGATCTCGATGTAATACCTTTCTCCTATGACAGTATGCCAAACCACGAAGAATCTGGTATAAAAATAGCTACAAAAGAGAACGTTTATATAAATTAGACTAAAAATGTTAATCTATAGAATACATGACTATAACAGCCCATTTGGGCACTGTAGAGTTAAGTCTCTACATCGTAACCAGGACAAAAATACTCAAAAAGTAAGTTAGTTTTCCATATGAACACATTCTGAACATCTTCGTTATTGTTTACAGATTTAAAATCCCTTTATGCTAATGCACTGCTTTAACACGATACTTTACAACAAAGATTTTAAAAGTAATTTGTTCTGCTTAACCGAGGAGAACCACAGGGCTATTTATTTTTAAGTAAGCATTTACCAATGCACTTCCCCACACTAATGTCTTCAAAGGTAATTGTCTCTGACTACACTCAAGTTCCCTTCCGTCACAGAATCCTTTCTGAAAATGCAGCTCAGCATCCTTTCTATCCAAATGTGCAAAACTACGTAAAGAACATTTTGGCATGCTAATGGAAAAACACACTTGGATTCACAAGCTCACAAAACATACAGAAATGGGCAAATGAGGACTACTAAAACAGCCCAACTGCCTCTGGAATTTATATTCATCCCCTCACCTTGACACCCACAGGTTTATTTTAGTCCTTTGGAACAGCAAGCCAAGCAAGCAACTTCAGTCGTGCATATTGTTGCTGCATGTATATAGATGTAAAAGGAGTAAGGGATGAAGAAAGGTTTAGCAGAGGGCAGCCAAGCAAGTTTACTCTATCATTCCACTAAGAACTATTACTTTGCAGTTTCTATACATATAAAGGGTCTGATCTTGAACGTGGGACTTCTGGGTAGCCATTGCTGGCATTTACCACCCAACAGTTCTCAGCCAGTATAGGTTAACAAATGTACAATGAAAAAATGCAGAGCATTACAGAAAGCAATGTTTACCAATGTGAAAAATTCAGCATGTAACAGGACTTTTGAGGAGAAACACTAGAATGTTTTCAGATGATCTTTTTCTAACACATCGGTTTATTTTTGTACCAGGTGACACCACCAAATTCTTTTTTATAAACTTGACAAATACACAGCAGGTGTAGTTACATCCATCTGTTCTCAGTCTGCTTACATGGGATTTATCTATTCTAGAAAAAAGGAATTGGGATCGACTTTTTTTCTTTCTTTCTTTCTTTCTCTCTTTTCTTTTTTGAAGATCAGAAGCAACAAGCTTTGTTAGCTTTGTTTCATCTACTCATGTCCATACTGTTGCAGCGGTAGTCAGTCCCAAGTGATATTTATGGGACTGCTGTGGAAATCGATAGCCATCTCTAGTGTACACTGGGACTGCAAGGATGAGTCAAGAAGGCAAAGCACATTACGCTACAGAAATTGTGGATCTTCACCACAGTTGGCAGGGATCCTTTTGGAAATGCACAGGATGACATGTATTAGCTCAAAATTTTGTTTGAAACAGTAATACCTGCAGAGATCACACACATCTTTACTTTATACATCTTCATTTTGTTAAAACTCAAAAAACTAAAGTTACCTGAGGAATGTGAGGGGAGTGATGACAGCAAGGTCTCTCAAATGTTAATAATGACGCAACCCCCCCCAGTTATTATAAGGTAAGCACCTACAGCTACCACAGTGAAGCAGCTGTTCTGGTTTCCCAGTGCCAAAGGTACTGACCATATAAATCTGCTCGTAGGGCACAGCTTAAACCGTAGGCAAACAAGGAAAAACAGTTCCTCTGCTTAGCTCGGATTACCACAAGTAGATTCTGCTCGTTCTCTAACTGCACTTATTATAGGAGTCAGGTTCCCACTTACAGCCTTTCTTTGTATTTTTTTAAGCTTAAAGCTCTACTTATTAACTCATATTTGATTAAAAACACAAGCGTAATTATGCTTTTTTGTTCTCTCTCTGAAGTAGGTACAAATTAAAGAATTTCCTTTTGCAGACTCTCAAAGGAAGCAACAGAGTAGGTTAAGGGTGAATGCCTTTCCCTAGAGACACTTACTGTAATGTGACAACAGAATAAAAGAAAAAGCTATCCAAACAGTAACCAATATCTAGACTGAATCCCATATGCAATTCAACTAAGAACAGATTTCTCAACATGCAATTAAGCCAAAACCAAGGATGACAACTCTACTGGAATGCACACAAAGCGCATCACTTCACAGTATTTAGTACATTGTGTTGTCAACCACATTTTTGCCATGTGCTACTGGGTAAGAATAAAAGTGATTTTCCTACCACGTGTGCACACTGATGGTTTTTGTTCTTTAGGATCACAGCTTAAAGTTAATTTTTTGTCAAGAGGCATGGAAGAGTTTCTCAAACACACCTACCATACAAATAACATTCCTTAAATGAATTATGAAGCTTAATGAAGAGGCTTTGAAGGTGCAGTCCAGCACAGGCTGCAACACAGCAGGGTGATACCGGTAACCCAGCCTCCTCAGACAGCTTCACTCATTTCAAGACAGTATCGTCCTCTGTTTGGAGTCTTGTTTATGAAGACGTAAGTATTAAAGAATATAAAGAGTTATTCTGGTTTTCCAAATCCAAACCTGCTTGTTACAAGAGAGGTAACACTTGAACCTGAGTTAGTTTCAGCAGGCCAGATTGGAAACTGAGTCATTTGACCTGGCCAAAGCCACAGTTAAAAGGAACACACAATGAAAAGTTAAAGAAAATAATTTCAATTTTATTACTAATGAAAAGATGAACATCACTCCTTCTTAAATACGTATTACTAATTTCTTACTTGTGTGGTAGGCAGTGGCATCCAAACCCACATTTGTGATTAAGGCTACATTTTCCTCAGTGTGCATATATAATTTTATTTGAGGATATACCAAACTGCAGACTTGGCTTAATAAAGGAGTGTAAAATAATGGAAGGACAAGAAGAGGTCAAAAGAGTTATGAATGTATTATTTTTAAGGAAATTTTAATTTTAAATATATAACTTCAAAGAGAATAAAAACATATAAAGTTATATTATCTCCTGTTTTCAGCCTTTAAAACACTTAAAAGCCATCAAAACTGTCAAGAAAGACTCCATCTGATGTCATAGTCAATGTCAAAAAGGAAGTTTCTTCTTTTTTTTTTTTTTTTTCCCCCCAAAAAAGCCCTAAACCGTATAGCACCCACTTATTAAGTTCTCTGAAACTACTGGAGCAGAGAAAGCTGGAAGACTCTCACTGTCACCAAAAACACTCACCTTTACATTGTGCATGCTCATGATGTTACCACAGTCATCCATGTACTGCTTCAGGTCCTTGTCCTGTCAAAACACCATCATCATTGTTCAGTAAAATTACAGACAACAGATTACAAAACTACTATTTATTGTTAGAAGTGAAATAATTAATCAGAAAACTCAGTTTCCTGCAGAAGATGTTCAACGATAAAAAACCCAAAAGCCTGAACGTGCAGAAAACTCTGGCTTTCCAGAGGTTATAAATATCCATGTTTTCCAGCAAGCTGCATCATCTCGGGCAACATTATTTGTTACTGCCTTCTCCTCCATCGTGCGTGTGGTACAGTATTTTATGAAACTGCTATATACTCCAATTACAAAGGAGTTTTTCTTCATCCGTCTTATTACACTTCTATTCGTATATATACATACTACGTTTGTATTTGTGTGTATATATACATTATATATACAAAAAGATCATTAGGCAAAGCTTCAGTGAGAAAGTGAGAATTCTACAATGCAAGAGGTGAGCAAGTGAGATATGTAGTTAGGGACACTTGCTTGAAAAGTTTGTTACAAAAACACAGAATGTGTTGTTTACTTTGAAGTATACTTTTTTCCTTAGCTAACTTGAGAGAGGTGCGTCGTAACACAAAAAACCCATCATTTGATTAATAGCATGATTATCCCTTTTTACAGTTACTGATTTTGGTATAAGTAGATCACCACTAACTGCTATTAATGAAACTTTGAAATTATCAGAACAGTATTTACTAATTTACAGCAATTTCAGAACTGAATACACTTTTCTCATTTTCAGCTGAATGAGTCTACGTGAAGAAGAAAACTGTAACCGTCCCAGTATTTTTAAAAACACTACAGAATTTTGTTATGTCTGTGCTACTTAGAAACAATAAATCGAATGTGAAGTTTGCTAGTTGTTTAAGCACTTACCAGATATTCGAAAACAAGAGTCAAAGACTTGTCTGTGTGCACAATATCGTGTAACGTAACAATATTTGCATGCTTCAGATCTTTTAATAATGATACTGCAAAAGAGAATTGTAAGTATAAACAAAAAACACATAAGCAGTAAATGCTTTTCTAGCAAGTTCATATGTATAAGCTATTTGTTGGGGTTTTTTTTTAAATTAAAAAGCAATTTTTAAGAACATAGTACTCATATAGATTAAGTTAATAAGAAAGGTATTTAATCAAAACACCAAACAGACATTTGAGTAACAAACCATAAATATTTTCTAAATTATACATTTCAGGCAGAAGTAGTCATTTAGTAAAATGGATCCCGAATCCCTGAAAGTTACTGACTAATAATAGTCTGATTCAGTATAAAGTCACTCATTTATAATCCTGCATTTGAGAACACAACCTCCCCCCATAAAGTAAATAAATTGGACACACTAACTCTTGACTACGTCCAGACTAAAATTTTCTTCATCAAAACTAATACCAATTTCATTCATCTCCCGGTGTTAGCCTATGTTTTTCCAAGTACCAACAGTACTTGGGTCAAAAAGAAAGCCAGAAGTATCTAAGAAGTATAAAAAAAAAAAGTTATCACCTTCTCTTATGGCTGTGCATGGTGCTCCCTCTTCATGTTCCAGGCGGATTTCTTTCAGAGCTACCAGGTTCTCTGTCAATTTACTTCTCCCCTTATAAACTGTTGCGTAAGTACCCTAGAAAATGGAAAAGGAAGGAAACTCTTACAAGTTATTCCTTCATCAGTTAAAAAAGAAATTATAAACTTCTGTCTGAGGTTCTAATAGGTTTCATGTTCAATATGAAGAGTTTTTAAGTTGTCTTCTTTTGATATATGTAAAACTACATTAATATTTTGTAAGCACAGGTCTGAACACAGAGAGGACACAAGGGATGTGTATGCTTAACAACTCTGAAAATTACATGGAAAGCTATACATCATAGAGCTATCTAAGAAGTTAGATCAGGTAGCATTAAGTTCACAAAGTTCACTGCTGGGAACATTTACCCTCTTGAAAGTCTCTATTTGATTAAAACTAGTTCAGGCATCTCTACGCTGCAGTTATGTTTCCGAAGGCTGCAGACATACTCTTCCATTACTTTTATGAAAACATATAACTCTTTTTGATAGCTTCTTGTCTTTGTTACATGTTTTACAAGAGAATTTTTATTTTTTGGGGGGTTAGGAGGAGCGGAGTTGTCAAAGTTTAATTTTGGTTGACATAAGGAACAGTGACTTTTTATGAAGCTTATCTTTTTTTTTATTTTCTCAGACAGTAAATGATTCAAAACACTCATGGCATGTTACCTAAGGACAAGAAATTCTGACAAAACAGCAAGTAGGTACAACTAATCCCAGCAATTGCAAAGAGGAAGCAACAAAGTTACAGAAACTGCCCTAGGTTACAGTACATACCTGGCATTGTCCACTACACCCTGTAAGCAAGTGAGATGATGTACACCTGCAACTGACTTGATAGCTACTAGATTAACATTCCTCCAAAGATACACAATGTTATGTCATGTCTAGTAATCCATCTAACAAGTACTAAAGGCAAAATAAAAAAATAAATGCGTCTGAAACATTGCAAACGGAGGACTGGCTGCAACCTTCACAGCAGAGATGCTGACCAGCCCTGATCCCTCCTGCAATGTTCAGTGCGTCCCATTCCAGTGCTCCTTGTCCATTTTTGATGCCGTTGGCCAACCTCAATCAAACTGGACAGGACTGACACCTGGCCCCTCCTGAATTCTACCATTTCTCTGGAAGTCAGAGACTGAGTGGAGGTAGAAAGCCGTACTGCTGCCCTCACAGAAGGAACGGCAAACTCGGTGTCGGGTACCTCATGGGGCAGGACCTGGCTGGCTGCCCAGCACAGGCTTCTCCACCAGAACGTGCGTAGCTGCTGCCTGCTCCCTGCAAGCAGTGGCTTCTCATCCAGCACGAGTGTTCCCTAACACCTAAATCACGGCAGGAGGACACCAGACAGAACTAGTTTTATTATCAACAGAATAATTTTGTCTATCTGCATACAAATCCAGCCTAGGTAAGAAGGTAACAGATCATTTGCTATTGGAGTCTTGCTCTTCCCCAGCTCAGTGATGGTTTTCCTGCTTTTTTTTTTTTTTTCTTTTTTTTTTTTTTTCTTTTTTTTTTTTTTTCTTTTTTTTTTTTTTTCTTTTTTTTTTTTTTTCTTTTTTTTTTTTTTTCTTTTTTTTTTTTTTTATTTGCTTACTGTATACGCATAGAACTTTTGTGTGGTTGTAACATTGTTACACATGTTGTGTTTGGTTTACTGAAAGGATAAATTCAACGGGTATTTTGAAGGATATGGAGATGTCCAGTTAACATTTACATAAAATTTTACACAAGACGTTGTCATCAAAGCAGTAGTCGTTTCAGAAGAAAGCTATACATACCTCTCCGAGCTTTTCTAACTTGATATAGGTTTCCATTTTTCCAAATCCAATTTCGGACTGCAATGAAAAGAAATGGAAAGCTGAACACTAAAAGGGAACACTTTATTTATACGTCATTTAATCAGCAAGCTAAACTTTGTTTCAGAAAAACACCTGACAGTACTTGACCAAACACCAAGCAATTCTGCTATTTTAAAAACAAGGTAGCATTTTATGATACCAATGCATCCCAGCATCCAAGCCTAATGCTCAGCTGTTGGCCAGTCTACTGTACGTCCTGGAAGGACTATGTACTGAGTTACACTTAGACCAAAACCCCACTTCACCCTACCTCCTTTGTAAGTCTACTCCACTCTTCTTCTGATTATTACTAATGAAGTTGCTGCAGCTTAAAGCACAGAAGTCATCTCAAACTACCCCATCCTTTCTCTTGCTCAGCATAGCCATATGCTGCTGCTTCTCTCAAAATAACTTTACTTGCTACATTCAAGATCTCAGCTCCAGGTTTCCTCTTCCCATTCTGACCCCTCAAGGCTTTTTGGTCTAAAACTCTGCCAGTAAAATCCCTAAACATCATTCCTCCACAAGCTTCAGCATTGTCTCAACAATTTACGTTTCATGGCTCATAACTTCCCATCTTTGTGTATTTTACTTGTATCTATTCACTTTCTCTCTTTTCGTCACCAACTTAGCTTTGCAATGCAAACCAGGAGGGTTTGCCTGCCTACATAACACCTTTTTCTGAAGACTGTACAATCATTACTCTCTTCCTGTTCAAATCCACCGCTACTCTCCTATTTAGTATGATAATCTCTTACAGTTATTTTCATGTAAGACCACGTCAATTACACCAAAGATTTATGGTGTTTTTACAGTGTAATGAATACTGAAAGTAGACACGTAAAACATGTCAATTAAACAAAAATTAAATCAATTTACACAGCGCATATAAGCCTGTACCCTGTCAAACCCCCAAATTCATAGGCTTTATGGGGTTTTGCTTTACTGACAATTGAATATACACTAAGAAAAAAGTGCCAGGTTTTCCCCCTAGCATCACCCACTCCTTCCTCTTACACACATAGCTCTCCATTTGCTGTTTCTTTCTAAGGAACGATACTTTGACCCCAGACTGGCTTCAGCACCTATGTCCACAAGCCAGAATACACTGATTTGCTCCTAAAACTCAATGCATGTTAAAGTTGTATATTATTTCATGGTAACACAGTGTAGCATAAATAACTGCTGACTGTATTAAGATTTGACAGCAATGTAATACGAAGGTATACTAAGAAGATTTGGATTAATACTGAATTTTCAGAGCATATGCATGACAATACAACTAAAGTAAGTGTAAGATCCTGTCTGTATGGATGTCATATTTGACATATCCAAGAGAAAAAAGGGACACGTAATTACGTTAACATAGTATTAAGAGTAATTATGTTTTATTGAATTAGTGTTAGGATCGACATGTTTTAAAACTGCGTAAGGATACTTTAGCATCAAGCATATTCAGGAGCTTGTTGAAGCCAAGCTGTTTATCCCAAAATACAAGTTGTTATTTGACAACCCTTATAAAACTCCAGTGAGATTTTTACTCATATCACTGATATATGTACAATGTTAGTAAAATAAATATTATGTTTCCAAAGTGCATTTTGACCTACTTAAACAAACATATCTTGAACTGAGTATTAGATGGTATTAGAATTAAAAAGATAGGCTGCTTAGTTTACAGGAGAAACTAAAGGAGAAGTCATGGCCGCTGGCCTTGTTTCTGCCAGACAGACTGGAATACAACTTGTTGTATTATTATTGTTTCATCAAGACTAATAAACTAAGACTTTCATCAAGACTAATAAACTTACTACTTTCCTTAGACAATAAAATCATACAATTATTTCCTACGTACATATTCTCTAATACCCGCCTTTCAACGTGTTTAATTTTTTAAATCACATTTTGGTTGCCTACCACTCCTAAGAAAAACTGATTTTTACATTCCTCAAACGAAGATCCATTTCCTTTAAAATAATTTCTGAACTATTTAATGTTTCTGCAATACACATCTGTCTATCTTGACTTACCCAGAAACACCGATGAACCGTATTTATGGTCTCTTACTTCTAATGGCTGGTGCATAAGAGTAACACCTATGCTATTGTGCATGCAATACTGTACATGTATACACAAAACACAATTACCATAAAAGCTAATTTTTTGCTTGTATTTCAAAGAAAAACACCAGACCTAAAGTATAACAAGTCCTCACTTGATACTTTTTATAGCCTTTTTCCTTTGATTCCTACTAAGCCTTGAAAAGAGACATGCCTTTGAAGCAGAGCGCAGTATTCATATATTGTAATTAACAGTCTGCTAGCAAGCTTTCAATGACAATCTCAGAATAATGAGTCCTTGAATTTCTTTTTTTTTAAAGGTTAGTTTGAAATCATGAAAGGACAATGCAGCAAATGCACGCCTGCATACCACAGCACCGCTGGCAGGTTTTATTTTGGACTTTAAAGCCCTGAAAGCATTTTTAAAAGGCGAAACAAAACAACCTTGTGACAGGAAGCTGATTCCATACACACACCATATTCATTAGAGGGCACTGTTTTTCTGTCTGTCTTCTAGAAGGTAAAGAGGGGAGAACTTAACTGCTCTCAGGGCTCAACATCAAATGAGCAAGGGGATTTAAGACACACAGCAAAATCCCCCCAGTCCCCAAATACTATATTCCACTGAAAAGGTTCTACTGAAAAGGTACTTCACCAGCATCTGAAAAGCAAAGTTTTGGGGAACTCTATTCCTCAGTTCAGTGCAACATCAGTAACTAAGTGGTTAATGAGCTATGAAATTCTGGCACAAATATTTAAGCTTGCTACATTATTATTACTCCCAGTGCTTTGATCCGATCTTTTCTTCTTTTAATATTGTTCTTGTAAAAGGCGACATACAGATCAGAGCTTCAGTCTAGCACACTAAATTGTGTTTTTTCAGGGGAAAATTTTTCAGGCTGATAAAACTCAACCATTGCTTTGTTACAGATATTACTAATTCACAAAGAATAAAATAAAAGATATTTCACAGTTAATAAAACTAATTCATTACACGTACTTTCATATTTATTTTTCAGCAAATAAGCCATTAAATAATAAATAAAAACAAATAATGTGGATTTCATGAACCTATCCATTTTTTCTCTGCAAAGAATTTCTTGCCAATGAATTTGCTCAGGAAGTCAGTAATGGTCCAGCAATTCTTAATTAACAGTCAGAAAGCTGTCAGATCAAATCATGATCAAAATGTAACATTTACATTTAAATTTTTGTAAAACTAAGACAAAAATCTTTTGGGGTTTGTGTGTGTTTGTTTTTTTGGTTTTTTTTTTACAGTTTTAGGGATGTGCGTATTTCATATGAGCATCCAGGATTTCTAGCATTTACACTCTAACTACAGTATAGGAAACATCATTCTACCATCTCCAAGGAAAGACTTATTTTTTGAAATAACCTAATAATCTAAAAAGGTACGTGTGAATTTATTCATTCACATTCTTAGGAATCCACATATGCTTTTTAAAAAAAAGAACATAACAAAAACCTACCAATCTCATTCTGACAAAATTTGTTATCAGATACAAAAAGAACAGTGAGGAGGACCTGCCTTCATATTACACCGCTTCAGGGCCTTCCTACTATGTCACGTGAGAGCCCCAGCCTTGACCTAAGAAAACGTGGCCTATTTGCTCAAACAGATCATCCCTGCTCTAAAAAGCAAAAGGATTTAAGTATGCACTTTGGGAGCTGAGTTTAGCCACCCATTTCAATAGGTCAAGACCTTCACTGAGAAACGACAGAGCCAAGTTTGCAGAAGAAAAATGAAAGAAAAGGTGAAATTCTTCAAGGGATTTTGACAAGTGCACACTGAAGTTCAGGACATAAATGCCAAGGTGTGAATAAAGTTGAATCATACCTATGGTACACAGATATCTGCATTAAATGGAATCTTAAGACCCGAGAGGTGGGTTTAGCAAGGCAGATGCATTACACTTACTAGTGATGCTCTTCGAGAACGTCGACTCATTGGCTGATCAAACGGCGGGCTGTTAATCTGCAGCTTTTCAAGGTAGCCATCAGGTATCCTGATGTCAGCAGGCAGGGACAAACGCTTGTTCAAATCCTGCGGTAAGTAATGTTAAAAAGAGAAGGGTCAAGTGTAATTCAGGATTTCCTGAAACATCTTGTAACACCTGTAGTGTTACTGTGACTACAGTGTTGCTATTTAAAACTGAAAAAATTATACGCATGAAAAATAAGCAATTTCACAGAAATTGTTTTTAAAAACATTCTCTTCTAATAGCACTGCAAATTGCTTAGACAACAGGTTCAAAAATTCAATGCTTTATGAAGTCATTACTTTAACAAGAGGAATGAAATATTAAAAATGTAATTAATTACACAGTTGATAACTGTATTACGTTTATTTGCATACATACCTGGAATGCCAGAAACTGAGAATTCAGAGACTGGTAAATACATTTATTTTCATATAATAATTACATTAGAATAACAAGAGATCTCCAAGATTCAAAATATATCATTCTCCCTTTCTGACTACTAAAAGTTATAAACTTGCTTCAACTTCAATTTTTCCAGTCTTACAAAACAGAATCACCTTGTTATTGAGCCAAACTATTACAGATGTTAATACATTTTTCTATTTCCAGCTCTTTAGTACACTATCTTTAGAAAAACCAAACCACCAATATATAAATGCAATTTTCCCTAC